GGATATGTTGTACGTCTCTTTCTCTTTTGAAGTAAACGATGGTGCTGATGACGATGGGATGATAGAGACCACCCAAACCGGATAACACCAAATGGGTCGCATTGAGCGCAGCCAGCGCCGGCCTCATCGTCCTTCTCTCATCCCTAGGTACCATCCCTCCCCTCCCCACCCTAACCCCACCCTCTAACATTCTAAACCACACAGTAATCTGGTACGCAGGCCGAACCTCCCTCAACCCCACCCCCTCCCAAATCCGCCTCCCCGCCCACGAATCCGCAAAACTAATGTCCGAACACGTCCCCGCCTCCCTCCACTTCACCTCCCTATCCTACACCCTCCCCTCCTCCCACCTCATCCTCGACTCTATCTCCGGCTCTGCGCTCCCTGGACAAGTACTAGCTATAATGGGCGCATCGGGGTCCGGCAAATCCACCTTCCTTGATATTTTGGCCAGGAAGAATAAGAGGGGGGTGGTGAAGGGTGAGATTAGGGTTAATGGACGGGAGGTGGGCGATGAGGCATTTAGGGGCCTCGTGGGGTTTGTGGATCAGGAGGATACGTTGATGGGGACGTTGACCGTTTATGAGAGTGTGTTGTATAGTGCGCTGTTGAGGCTTCCGAGGGAAATGAGCATTGAGGCGAAGCGGTTTAGGGTTCTTGAGACGCTTGAAGAGTTGGGGATATTGGGGATTAGGGATGTTAGGGTTGGGGAGAGTGGTTTGTTTTCTTTCATCGTTTTTTTTGGGGGGTTGTAGTGAGCTAATTGACTGATAGGGAAGAGAGGCATTTCGGGCGGTGAGAAGAGGCGCGTGTCGATTGCTTGTGAGCTCGTTACGAGCCCTTCCATCTTATTCCTGGACGAACCTACATCCGGTGCGTTTCCTTTCCCTTCGTCCCCTCTTCCCCTTTTCTAACACCACTCCCCCCCCCTTCCCAGGTCTAGACGCATACAACGCCCACAACGTCATATCCTCCCTCGTCTCTTTGGCAAGGAACTACAACCGCACAGTCGTCTTCACGATCCATCAACCGCGCTCAAACATCGTCGCGATGTTTGATAAACCTTGTGTTGTTGAGCAAGGGGAAGATGGGTATCGGGGATT